TGCGGGGCAAAAAATTCTTTGTTCTAAAGTCATCCTTTTTTTTTTTTTTTTTTTTTTTTTTTTAATAGAGATGAGAACATCTGCTTACAGATGCACTATCTTTAGGCTTGGTCATCATTTGCAAGCTAATTAGAGAGAATCTAAAAGCATGGATCAAATATGACCAGAGGTCTACCAAGCAGACGGAAGGCCAAGTGTGAGGGAAGATCAAAAGAACTGTATTCCTTGTCTAGAAAAGAAGAATCTGTATATAAAAGGCTTTGAAGGCCAGGGGCTTGAAGTTACAGCAAGAAACATAGCCTATGAGTGAGGAAAACCTGTCCAGTTAGCAGATTGTGAAACACGGGAATAGGTTTCCTACTGAGATTGCTCCAAATAAATAATTCATTAGAAACTTGCTTCTGTGAGATTAGGAGCATTAAGAACAACTCTTGGATGTAGCCAGGATCCTGCAAAGAGCAGGAGAGTCTTGGAAAGCTGTGTGGCCCTTCTGCCTTGGGGCTAGAGAGGCCAGAAACTCTAGGCAGACAGTTCTAGCCCCAGTAAAATGCATTTCATGTGTTAACCTCCAGCACAATGGTCTCTGGTTAGCGAATAGCAACAGTTTTGGTGAAATTACATAAAACCTGCCATAACTATCACTGCATACACAAAAGTTGCAGGCAGTGAGAGTCTTCCAGCTCTGCAGAACATTATCCAGAGCCATTCATAAGAACAAGCAAGCTATGTTTTACAATAAAATTAATAGTGGCACTTCTAAGTGGTCCACAGCAGTGTGAAGTCTGGATATAGCATATGCATGCATGCCAATGCAAAGAATTAAATGACTTGTTAAAGAGATGTTTTTTTAATTCCAGGGGAGGCCAGTGCCTCAACAATGTGGGACAACAATGCTTGGATTTTCTTTTATGACAACAGTACAAATGGAGAGCCTCCATTCTTAATCCAGGATTTTATCCATGCCTTCCAACCAAATGCCAAACTTATCATCATGCTGAGAGATCCTGTTGAAAGGTGAGCAGGGATTACACTGCTAAATATGTTAGCAAATTTTCTTATTCTTACTTTTATTATCATTACTTTGTTCTCTTGCTCTGAACTGAATATCCATGCAATATTTGACAGAGTTGCCTGGTTGGTAACGTGAGATCTCGGGGGTTTTTGTTCTGCGTGCCTTGAGGTTTTAAATTGGGATATTTTAAATTGTAGTCCATGGGTTGTGTCAAGAGAGTACAATGGGTCCCGTCTGCCTGTCTGTAGCTTCCCTGTTTGCTCCATAGGGACATTTATTGTGAGCAACTCCTGGATCAGGAGATGCATTTCCCAAGTTCTAGCAGTCTGTCCTGACCGCAGGAGGGAGCAGATGGGAATTTTATGCAAGAGAACTGGCTGAAGTGGCTTCCTCCTGCAAATTCCTGACAAATCTCTGGTTGCTTTAACTGCCTGCCACAATGTGGGTATTGCCAACTGTAAGGCAGGGGTCAAAAAGCAAGTTTCTGCTCCCAGCTGGCCTCTCCCTGTCCCTTTGCTTGGTGACACGGCTGCCGTGGTGCAGTTATTCTATTGTAATGGATTATGATCAAGGATAACGGCTTCAGGTAGCAGGAGCAGCTGAAGTCCTAATCAGCAGTGGTTTTATATCCATGCAGATGTCCCCAAAATTAAAAGCAGATGGAAAGCAATAGAGGAAATCTCGGCTGTCCTGTGGAGTGAGAACTTGCCTTCAAGGACATTGCTTTTCTATGTCATCGAGTCTTGAAATTATGAGTTTACTTTAATGGATGATTAGAAATAATAAGTAGACTTTATTGCTGCTACAGCTACTTTTAAGACAGGTGGAAGAACAGAGACACACAACCCCCTGCCTCAGGTTGCTTCTCCTTGGGTACTGCCTTCTCATCTGTTAGTTTTCTATGATCTTCTATTTTATTTTTTTATGCATAAAAACAGAATCAAAAACATCCTACCACAAACATGGGCCTTTTCTTCCTCTTTTTTTTTCTTTTTCTTTTTTTTTTAAATGAACACAGAGTGTTCCTTTATGTCATTTGGGAATTGGTGTCCTGTTCTTGCAAAACACTACCATAAGGAATGAGTGCAGCAGGGCTATTCCCATGCTTAAGTGCTTTGCTGGATTAGGGCCTAAACTTTCTAAATTAAATGATGAATTTTAATGTACCCTTGGAAATGTAGGGCCCAGACTTTTTGGTTTAATAAAATATTGAAAGGACTTTAAAAAATGAAAAAAAGGAGTGGGTGCAACCTGAGAGGTTATTGCAGCAATAAAATGAGACCTTAATTGATTTTTATCAGTCATCTCTTAGATATTTATGTGCTTTGAAAGAGGGTGAGACAGGCAGGATTTCTGGAAATCTGTGGAACATGGCACTGGGCTGTAGCACAATGCAACCTCATACTGAAGTCTGTGTGAACTGTTCACCTAGTTACAGCTTTGAGCTTAAAAAAGACCTAGAACAGTCATGGAAAACTGTAATCTGAGAGCTTTAACTAAAACATGCTATAGAAACGATATGGGATAGGGTATGGAGCTTTCTGAAAAGCCAGGGAATTGGGTCCTTCTTCCAGCTTTGGAGGATGGCCAGTTTGGTAACCTCTTAAATCACTATATCTTTGTCACCCCTCTTCTACGTTCTTCTGTTTTAGATTTAGATAATAAGCTTTTGGGATGAGAACTATTTCTTTCCATGGCAGCGGGGAGCCCCTAATACAATGGGGTCCCAGCGTCAGCCCAAACAAGCTCTGCTCTTCATAGATAATGCAAAATATGTATTTGGCAATATGTTTTTGAAAAGTTTGCCCTTGGGAGATTGGTGTTGGCTCACCATGACTAGGGCCCTCATCTTAAGGGATACTGAGCTTAAAAGAGGGATTGATGTCTAGCAACTCCCAGGAGTGGATGTTGCTCTAAGCTAAAACTCATAAAAATGAAGAGAAAATCTGTCACGGAGGGAACAGACTGGTAGTGGGGTAATACTGCATGTATACATACTGCTCTTCTCAATTAATGTGACTTATTTGTATTGTCATGTAAATAGATCTTCTCTCACTTCCTTACACGTTTCATCTGCAGATTGTACTCCGATTATCTGTACTTTGCAAGTGCTAATAAATCCGCAGAAGATTTTCATGAAAAAGTGGCAGAATCGCTGCAGCTGTTTGAAAATTGCCTGCTGGATTACTCACTGCGAGCCTGTGTCTACAACAACACGCTGAACAACGCCATGCCCGTGCGTATGGCCCTGTGACACTTAATGTATGGTGTGATACACGGGGTCGAGCTTGTAGGTGCAACAAACACAGTGCAAATAAGCACCAAGAAATAGAAATTTCTCCTTTCATCTGCAAAGCGGATGATACATGCACATACATATATATACACATATATATATATATGCAAGCATGTAAAAGCTGATGCACTGGCTCAGCTGTCTCCTCAGTCTGTTCCCTGATGAATGCCAACAGTAATAATGCATTCTTTCTATTGTGCGCCTGTATGGAGAGCACATTTAGTGAAGATTACAGTTGAATGTGTAAGCTTTTTGCAGACCTCTCCAAAAAGTAGCTCTGGCAAGGATTTTTGTGGTACAAAATTGCCTCCAAATCAGCATAAATTACATATTCTTTTGCAAGAAAAGGCTACCAACAACTAGATAAAACCTCTTCTTTAAACTTGTGCATGTCAGGAAATGGAGAGGAAAGAAAGAAAGAATGACAGAAAATCCTGACAGAGGATATGGGGAAGTATTACAAGCTCAGTTTTTCAGAACTCACATTCTAGGGTAGAATGGATTACAAGGTTTGCTTGAGGGGGAGGGAAAAATGCCTTTTGCTGAATAATATGGAAGAGATTGACTTGGAGGATCAAATCTGGTCAGTTTGCCATTGAATCATATTTTATTTCTTAAAGCTGTAAAGGATTCAGGCAGAATGCTTTTCTCTGGGGAGAAGTTAATGCCAGAAGCTCCTCCAGTCAAGAACGTTGAGAGAGAGAGAGGCAGAAGGAAAGGTTTTCTTCCATCTTCTTTATTTGCTCTATATTTAAAAAGTAGGATTGTTTCCTTCCTATCCTGTAAGATCATTGGATTGCTAATTTAGTTGCAAGTAAATTAATTTTCCTTTGTGTGTGTTGCTTGCAGGTGAGGTTGCAGGTTGGTCTTTATGTTGTGTATCTTCTGGACTGGCTAACTGTTTTTGACAAGGACCAGATATTAGTTCTTCGCTTGGAGGATCATGCCTCAAATGTGAAATACACCATGCACATGGTGTTCCAGTTTCTGGATCTAGGTAGGTGGCATCTGGCTGCTTTGGGCGAAGAGCAAAAAGTCATATTATCCCTTTTCTAGATAGTTAGTGCTTTTATTAGAAGAGAAAGCAGAAGCATGTGGGTCTATTTTTGAAAGATGCATTAATCTTTTTTTGAGCAAAATTAAATTTCCTAAATTCTCATAGAAGGTTTATGAGAGAAAGATTGGTGTTAGAAAGTCTAATAAGATGCTATTTAAAAAAAAAAAATCAAAGCCACTTATATGGGAGGCATATATTTTACTATACGGAATGAGGTCCTGCTTCTGAAGGCAACCAGAGCATGTTTGCTGTGGACTTGCACAGATGCAGAGCAATACCCTGTATTTTCATCTCCCCAAAATGTGCTTACGGGATCCATGAGTGAGACTTGTGGAGTTTCACTGTAGCAGGTGATAGGCAGCTCATGCCATAAAATAATTGCGACTCCAAAAGGCATAAAGTCATATTGAATGTCATAGCTGATTTCTGAAAACAAATATTTTCCTTCAGAAATGATTCATGCTGTTTGTTGTAGAGATGATTAATATGAAAGGAAGACATATTATTTCTATATTTTTAACTGTGATTTATTTTACAAACTGAAGCTTGTATTCAATATTCTGAAACATCACCCCTGCTATCACACGATTCCATTTGTTTTCTCTTGGCAGATGTATTTATTTAGTCATTTATCTTTTTTAGCATAGGCCTTTTTTTGAAAATATACTAAGATAACATTCTATTTTATCCCAGGACCTCTAAGTGAGAAACAAGAAGCCCTGATTACCAAGAGCCCTGCATCAAACACTCGACGACCTGAAGACCGAAGTCTGGGACCTATGCTACCAACAACAAAGGCGATTTTAAGAGATTTCTATAGGCCTTTTAATACAAAACTGGCACAAGTTCTTTTTGATGACGCTTTTTTATGGAAGAGGACATAATATGTAAATTTAGTGCCACAAATACAGTGTTTAAAGGAGTTTTTATTTTTTTAAATTCTATTTTTGTGTGTGGATATTTACATTTTTTTCCCATTCCAAAGAGAAGCCGATTGAGATGAGACTTTCACCTTCAGTCAGCACACATCACAACAGCTATATCACATTTTCCTTGAGAGAATGTAAAGCATCTTGCTGATCAGTTCCTTTTACCCCAGCAAAAAAAAATGGAAGAGCGTTAGTACGAAGGAGAAATCTTGCACTCTGCTGGGTTGTGAAGATTAACCTTCTCTAAGGTGCTGCAACAAAAAATTAGCATCAGTCTCCTGCAGTTACACTTATAATCTCACTCTCAGTATATGTTAATCATCCATTCTTTCAAACTATCAATGTCATTTAGTCATTAAAATTTTTAATCAAATTCAACCTAAAATTCTGTCTTTTTATCAGCATAATCATCAATGCAGTCTTAGCTTGCACTATTTTTTTTCTGTTTTTCTGAAAGTTTTTCTGAAACAAAGGCAAAGGTAAATGGCTTTAACAGAATTGTATTTGCATAAATATTTCTGGCCTAATTTATGCGTTCAATTTGAATGAACTTTCCTAACCACAGTTCTCATAAAAGAAGAGTTTCGTATTCCAGGTAAGAATGAATGAATGAGATTCAAATAGCAGGCCTCTTACAATGTTTAGTGTAACAAATCCATTTGTCTCCTCTATTTTGCTGATGGAAATACAGATATATAACATGTATTCATCCTACTCTCACATTTTCTGAGAAAACCAATAAGGGGCCTAAAGCAGGGTCCATTGCTGGCCAGGGAGAGCTTTTATTTCATGGTGTTTTCTGCTGGGTCCTACACACTCTGAAGCATTCAATTGCCATTCAATTGCATTTTAAAATCCCTATGACATCTTGTCCTTAACTGCATCAATGTAATGTGCAGGGCGATAGTAGTGTGCATCCTGATAGCAAGTAAGATGGGATACATCAACTAATGAATTAATTGCATGTGCACCTTTTTTTTTTTTTTTTTTTCCCCTCTTCACAGAAGATGTAGGTGTCTAACTAAAAATCATTTCAGAGGCTGAATTGAGAAGAAGCCCAAAACCCATGGGAGAATTTTGGGCTATGTGGAAGCTGTAATTAGACCAAATTCCTAGAAATGGGAATGCTTGCTCCGGGTAACCTCCTTTCAGGGATTGTCTGCAGTATGGCTCTCCAGCAGATTCACAAACATATTTACAAATGTTAAGGGGGAAATTTCTCTATTCTCCTCCACAGGGATATATTATTTTGCCTATCTTTGCTAAACTGAGAAATGATACTGGAAAGGTTCTGACTCCTGAACATTTCACAAATGTTAATATGATTGATAACAGGTGACATTTGTAACAGAAGTCCTATATCGGCTCCTTTTCTGCTTGGAAATGTGCTGTTTAAAAAACACTTGGAAAGCCTGGAATAAGAGGCCCAGCTCTGATTAGTTCTAGTTCAGAAATGGTGACTGACCAAAGCAGTTTTACCAGTATAAAAACATGTGGCAGCGTGACTCAGAATTAACTTGGTATTATTCATAGATGTTAAATTTTCAATCATCACTTTATTTATGCTAAAATGTTATGACAAATATGTTCTGAATTAGAATAAACGTTCCATGGTTGGGAAAAGTAGGTTCAGGGGCTTCTTTCTGCCTCTACAAGAAAGCCCTGTGTATGATAGTTTTGACTCACTTCTGAGACGTGAAGGAATTCATTATTATTGTTATCATTCACGAGAGCTGAGCTGCCTCAGGAGCAGTAATCTGCTAGGAAATTGTACTTATTATCAAGATAACATATTTTCATGTTTGCCAAAACCCAGCAGTGGCTCCTTGCAAAGCAGTCGGCAACTGAACGTTTTGTTCTCCCATTACTCTTATCTCTGCTCAACAAAAACTAACCCGGTGCAGACGCTGCCTCCCCAGGTCCAAGTGCCCCGGGGACAGGAGGGTCTTTTCCAAATGTTCTCTCTGAATGTGCGACGTGTTTGCTGCAAGACCTTGGGCAGGAAGGCCGAGACCGTTGGCTGGTTGGAAGAGGCGCAGGGGAAACAAGGTCTGCAGCTCAGACGAGCAGACTTAGCCCCTTGCACAGAAGCAGGGTGTTGTTATCTGTGCAACCCAGGGCTGGCCTGTGGCTGTACAATAAACCAAAGATAAACGTTTGGGATGTGATAGCTCTGAGTGCATCTTTCTGCCCTCCCAAAGTATCTGCCTTTCACCTAAACCAAGCGCTGCTACGGTGGCAACGCGGAGCCGAGCGCGGTGCTGCACCACCGCCCCGTGGCGAGCTCGGGCAGAGCGCGAGGAGCCCGCGCTGAGGCTGAAAACCTTCTCCCATTGCCCTCCCAAGTGGCCTGAAGGATGTGCGAGGGTCCTGGGGCACTTCCCTTGCTGCCCGCCCTAAGGAAATTTTGGGGAGCCACGGCATTACCTCATTAGTGCATTCATTACTTCATTAGTGCATCTTTCATTAGCCCCCTGCCTGTGTCCCGGGCATCCTGGGGCTTAGGCCTCACCAGGAGCAGAGGGCTGGGGGTGTCCCCATCGCCCTTGTGCCACCAGGTCTCGTTCCTCACAGGCTGGTCAGACGAGTTGGGTATTCCCCCTACCTCAATTTTGGATATTTTTTAAAAAAATAAGAATGAGAAAAAAACTGTGTTCCGGACTCCAGTATTTATTTGTCTTGGTTTGCAGACTTGTCATCCGACATGTCTAAGGCAGACAAGTGCACTGTGTCATTTAGGTCACACTCAGCTTTTCCATGGTGATATGCAGCGTGTATATATTTATTTATACAGATTATTCTGGGCCTGAACTGACTAAATTTAAGCGACTGCTGCTCTCTCAAGTCCTTTTTGGGAACAGCAATTACCAAAACCGTGTTCAGGAAAGTTTTGTGGTGCTATTAAATAGATATGAGGCAGAAGCACAATCAGCCCCATCAACATGGGAAATCTTGGCTAATGCACGGAGGAGCTACTGAAGTGATGTTCTCTGCATGAAATGTCCTGCAATGCTGATACTGTCCTGCAGTATCAGTCACTGTTCTCTGCATGAAATGTCCTGCAATGCTTGGCCGTGTATCACTCACTATAAACAGGGCTCAGTGCAGGGTATCTCCATTCAAGCACTCGGGCTAAGCTCATCTCTGCAGAGAAGGCAGCAAGGGAGATGCAAAGACTGCAGTACAGCAGCTCCGGACAGGTAGAAAGGTTGAGAGAAAATAATAAAAGAAAGAAATCTTGTGAAAAAAATGTAATTGAGTCAAATGAAATCCTGGAACGGTGACGAAGATCGATGGGGCAAAATTGCACTGAAGAAAATAAAATCAAATGAGGTAGCCAAAAAATGAAAAAAGTCAAATGGAGGAATAAGAAGAAAGAAAAGCGACAGACATCTGCCATATGGAAAGGAAAATCAATTTTTGACCACCTAGAAGGGCTGGGGAAAGGAAAATAATGATATAATCTGGGGAAACTATAATGGTTTAAGAGGACAGGTGTTAGCTGAGGCGAAGGGGACTAAAGTTTGGGGGCACCTTGTGCTGGGTCTCTGTCCTATGAATTAGAGCTGTGGCGAAGGGATCCACAAAACCTGGCCTGCTCTAACACATCCCAGCACTAACCTTAGGGGAAGGAGCAAACCGTCCCAAAAGAGTAAAAGAAATTGGATTAAGGTGGGAGAGAGGTTACAATAAAAGCAAGAGCCAGATTAAGAAATGGAAGTAGAGGATAAATGTTGCATGTGGAGGAAAAGGGTGGCATTAAGACATTTTTTAATGAATTTTCTCCTGGGTATTTTACTGCATGCTTGGAGAATCTCAAGAGCAGAGGCGAGTAAATGAGCAGCAGTGTAAGCGAGCAGGTCCCCGCACACTTGCCCGTGGGCTGGGGCTCCTGGTTCACGTGCTGGGTGCTGGCAGCAGCAGCGATGCCAGGGGGCTAGTGCCTGTCCTGGCAACCGCATCCCTTCCCGGGGATGCAGCAGCAGAGCCAGGAACGCGTCGGGGACCACAAGAGGGCAGGGCATGGCCGGGATTCGGCATCCGCTGCTGCCAGGGATGCAGCACTGCATCTCCCATCCGGGCTATAGGATGAGCACCGGGTCCCGGGCAAGCGGCGAGTGCTGCTCTTGCCTCCCCAGGGCATCCTTGCTCATCACTAAGACGTGTTGCTCGTCCACCTGCAGCTCCACGCCGCTGGAGAAGGATGCAGGAAGGAGCTGATCCCGCTACGGTCGCGTGCTAAGAGGTCAGCTCAGTATCTGTGGGACTGTTTGAAAAGTTTGCTAAATCCAACGCTGCCTCGTGGCACAAGCAAGGTGAAGCACCACTCTGCTATTCACCTGCAGCGTCAAAATGTGAGAAATGTGTATTGGACCGAAAATCCTTTGCTTAAGCAACACCTTCTCAACAGGCACATGTGGACCAGGCCTTCAGCCCAGCGGTGTTGGCCCAGGTGGAGCCAGTCCAAAGCAGGTGTCCGGGCTGGCACGGGTGCTGCTGACAGAATTTTTGCCATTGGACCACAAGGAAAAAGCGCCGAGTTTCACTAGATGGTGCCACAGAGCAGTCCTGGCCTTCCAGCTGCAAAGACGGTGCTTGCACATTCCTACCGAGCTGGTTTGCAACAGTTTTAAGTTCCTTCTGGGTGTGCTGCAGAAGGCTGTGGTGCCCAATGAGCACACCAGTAACGACAGCTCATAGGGCCTGAAGGGAGCTGTGACAGGGATTTGCAGAAGAATGGAGCAAACTCTCAAAATCCCAAGCTCTGGAAGGCAGCAGGTTCAGAGCCTTTGCAGGGAAAGGATGATAAACTTCGGAAGGAGAAGCCACAGGTGCCTAGAACTGCAGGATTTGCAGCAACTTAAACTGCTGGAAGAGTCTGGAAAAGGGGATTGCTGCAAAGTTCAGGAACTGAAAAGATTCCAGTTGGAGGGGGATGGAGATCTCCAAGTGCAGCCTTAACGTGGGTA